AAATATTTCAAGTTTAAAAAGCAGAATTAAAAAAATACAGAATGTCGGAATGAAAGTATCTCACTGATCGATTCATTCGTGAAACAAATGTTGAGTGCACGATGAGAGATAAACTTCGTCAGTTTTTCAGCCAATCTGCTACTTTCTCGTTACTCTTGTGATGTTTCTGACAGTCTGAAGTCTAGCGGAAAGAGTGTTCTTAAAAAGTGTTATGTTCGGGATTTTACTTCATTGGTTTGATAGAGATCGAGATAGATTTTTCATGCAACACGCAAAAAACAATTAGTTAAATTACATGTATGAAACAATACTCAAAAGTTTTTTTGTTAGAATAACTTATAATAGATGGGAAGGGGAAACATTTCTTTCATTGTATCCTTTTGTACGAATGCGTGGGTTCAGTAGAAAATGTTTTTTTTACGTAACATTAAGGAAAGATTCTTTATTGGAATATAGAAAAGGAACAAACTATTGTTTCTTTTCTTATATATCCGATATAATGTTATCCTGTATAGAAACACACACACACACACACACTACCACTTAATAGCGATAATAAAGTATATTAAAAAAAAGTAAAAAATATAAGAGGCTGGTTCTACGGAAAAAATAGAGAGAAAGAAAAAAAAATAGATGCCGTAGTGATCATGGTTTCAAGTAGTAGACTTCTATGTAGAAGAAATAAAATGAGAAAATGGTTTTAAATAAGCTTTCTATATTTACTTCTTATTGTTTTGTCGTTATCTTTGCTCACTTTCTACACTATGCAACTGCAAGAAAGAGTTTTACAGGTAAACAACGTTCATTCTAGTTTATTTTACTACTCTGCTACTAATGGTTTGCCAATAATTTTGCACGTTCTCAGTTCACTTAGTAATTCTCCTGTTTACGATTCTTGTTTTTATTAAATGAAATTGTCTAAGATAATTCGTGAAATTTCTCCCTTAAGGGCACCTCCCTTCTTTCCGGACGCGAAACTTTTCCTTCGCTTAGGTAAACAAATACTAGAAGCCTTGCCAAAAAATGTGTTTTTTTGCTTAGGGAAATTTTGTAAAGTCTCCCAAAAATCATCAGAACAATATTTTTCAAAGAAAAAAAATACATACACCCAGATTTGGTTCTAGTTGTTACAAAAAAAAATTCAGCCATAAAAAATGAATTCTGGATATTTGCGGGGTGGAAAGTTCAGGTCATTTTTGGTCCTTGCATCCTCTATTTCTTATAGAAGGAAGCATTCGAGAATTCTGAGTCTATGACAACGTTTGCTCTGCTAGTCGAGATCTATCTACCCTGAAAGTTTCGGAATTTTTGGTTGAACTGTTCTTGAGAAATCCCGGAAAAAATTTTCACGTTCGGAGAGGGGGATGCCCTTCTGAAGTAATTAGAAGTTGAAGTTTATACTAGTAAACCATAAATTTTCATCAGCGGTCTCTCCTCACAGTTAGATAGTTAAAAAGTGATTTAATCCCTTAACGTTAGATTCATCTGAGAGTTCCTCGCATGACAATTTTTTTTCTATTTTTCTTTTTTGTCATATTGATGACCGCACATCTCTTTGTGAATAAAAAGAAACTATATTTCTATTGTATATAATTTTAGAAAAAAACACTGCGAAATATAATTATAAGATCAGACTTTTATTCAACATTCTTACTGCACTATTCTAGCAGCGTTATAGTCAGTCATTATCTACGAATTTCATATTTTTAGTTCTAACAGAACTGCTCTGATAAGATTTTCTGATATGCTTAAAACATAACATTGGATTTTTTATGCTCATTCATTCACACTACGATAAAAAAGCTTCTGCTAATGAAATATTAAGTGTTAAATTTGTGAACGAAGAAGCGTAAAATCAAAGTTAATGCGAGTGTGCTTTAATTAATAAGAGAGATAGTTGATTGCTAATTCAAACTAACCTGTAAAAGTAAATTGACTATAAGCAAAGAAACAAGTCGAGAAACATTTCTACTGTAATTCTCAGCACAGCTGTTAGTTATTCTTTATCTATGCGATAATCTTCATATTATTAATGTCAACAATTTGCAACAATGAGAGTCTTCTCGTGAGAAGAAACTTTACTGCTGAATAGAAATAATTTCTTTCTACTTTTACAAAATCTTTGTATTCCTCTATTTAGTTGATGAAAGAAAGTTTAGACACACTATCATTAACATTTGAAGAATTTTGTCATATTCGTATGTATTCATGAGTAATTATATGATGTCTAGTGTTATAGTCTAAATACTGTTTTTATAGGTAATGTAATCACACGAGCGGAATTAGAAACATTGTTATTTGATGAAAAATTATATATTGAAGTTGCTCAAGGAAAGGTAAGAGCTGATTGATACAGAGATTCGATTCTACAGGTTCAGTTCAGTTTATACGATGTAAAAGTATTTTTAATGAGCTATTGTTGATTTAGCTTTGTTTTACATGTCGAAAAATTCATTTTAATTTATTAACATTAACATTTGGTATTCAATGTCGTGTTTGTAAACAACGTGTATGTAAATCGTGCACCACACAAGTAAGTTGTTGTTTATTTTTCTATAATTGACCTGAAAAATTGAAATATTTTTATTCATAGATTGCTGTACCAACAGAAAAATTAAATGATGTACCTGTTCAAGCATTCACGCCGTCTACCTTTTCTAAACCATTTCCGTTGATTAAACAACAAAAATGTCATTCAGTTGAGATGAAGTAAGATACAATTTATTTTTTTCAATTCATTCTTTGTTAAGATACAATATACATGAATAATCTATGTAACTATAATATCAGATTACAAACTATTTTGAGGATTTTTATCAACCGCGGTGAGATCTGATACCTAGAATGCAGAAGATAAAAGCAGTAAAGTCATTTTTGAGAGAGAGAGAGAAAATCGTTATTCAAAACTGGTATATCTGAACATCAGAAATCTAACAAAGCTCTTGGAATCAAATAGTACTACTGTATTTTTTTTTGTCGTGTTAAGAGATAGGAAATAGATGTCTGAATATAAAATATTTATTTTAGGTCGTAATAATGTGCCTTTATTTATAGGTTGTATACTATTGCATTTTCATATCTTTTTATTTCAGATCACCGGGTACACCAATGATAATGAATGATATAATAAGTGAATTACCAAATCCTCCTTTTCATCGAAAATTATCATCTCCGTATACTCGTCCTCCATCGTCGTCATTCGAATATCAGAGTAAAAAGCCAAAAGTTGAAACAATAATAATTTGCACAGTGAGTCTTTAGAAACACATCTCATAGTCATTTCTTTTGATCTATGTTATATTCTTGTATTTCCGTTCAGGATTGCTATTTTCTCCTCAAACAAGTATTAAATAATCATCGTCATCGTCATTTACCCACTTGTCGTGCCTCTACCCTTCCTCGTCCATCATCATTTCATCGTACTTATTCTTCTCACTCAACACCAAATAATAATTTATCCAGCTCATCGACATCCTCCTCATCTTTTCCTCAACAACAACAAACACGAAATTTACCAATAAGAGCAACATCATCGATCAACAATCTAAAAGCAAAATCGGTGAATGAATTATCGACTACTACCGTTAACATCACCTCATTACCTATCCAAAACACTAATAATCGTGTTAGTTTATCGAGACAAAATTTATTTTTAAAATTAAAGCCAGCTTACGATATGACAGTAATGAATAGTAGTAAAACAGGATAAAGATTCTTTTTTTATAAAGTAAGTATATAATTAATTAATGTTTTCGTTTTGTAAATCTAATATTCCAACGTTGAAACCCGGTTTGTCTTCTTTTTTTTAATGTGATAATCGCTAAATCTTTTGTTTCTTCCAAGAAAAATGCCTCTGTGTGTGTATGATTCCATAATATTGTGTTTATTGTTCTTTTATTTTTCCACATGCAATAGAGATTCTGATTAATGTAAATGGATTTATTTTTCTCTGTAATTAATTTTTTTTTTTGTAGTTTAAAAAGAATCTGAGTATAATAATAAATATAAATGTGAAAAAAATTGATGTTGATGATTGTGCGGAAATAAAAAAACACGAAAGTTACCACATGATGTTATTATCGTTGGAGAGCGAACAAAAATATGGCTGCATGAAATCATTTGCTTAAAAAGTTTGCTTGTTAGAAACTGATGTTAGAGAACATTCACAATAGAGTAAATCACACTCTAATAATAACAATGTATGCTTTGTAAGGAAGGCAAAGCGCACTAAATTCGAAGTTTAAGCACTATTTTATTTTTGGCTACATTATACATGGTTCGACAGAGCTCGACGAGCTGATCATGAATATCTACGTTTCAGCTTTAAAAACTTGTTTTTTGAATGAAACATTTTCAAAATACTAGAAGAGTCTAAAATTTCAACAAATCGTTAAGTTTCGAAAATATCGAAGAATTTTTTCCTGTTCCATTTTCAAAAGCTAAGAATTTTTCGCTTCGTAAGCCACAATTTTTTTTTCGAATTCAGCGTAAGAAACTGGGCCTAGAAATATTATTTCGGTTTTGAGATACGCACATGTAAAGATAGCCTGAAGTGTCGACTTTCAGAATCTGTATCGCTTTTGGTTACAAAAGTAGTTTTTCGCGGATTTTGAGCAAGTTTTCTAAGAGCTCGAAAAACCGGGTCATCAAATAATAGTTTTTTCCTGGATACTTATGCAATTAAAATTTTTCTGAACACACAGATTTGTAGAGCAAACGTTCCTGATCAAAATAAGACCTCGNTCGGTTTTGAGATACGCACATGTAAAGATAGCCTGAAGTGTCGACTTTCAGAATCTGTATCGCTTTTGGTTACAAAAGTAGTTTTTCGCGGATTTTGAGCAAGTTTTCTAAGAGCTCGAAAAACCGGGTCATCAAATAATAGTTTTTTCCTGGATACTTATGCAATTAAAATTTTTCTGAACACACAGATTTGTAGAGCAAACGTTCCTGATCAAAATAAGACCTCGCACAACTCTATATGACCTTCCATCAAAAAGTCCTAAAACTGAGCATTTTATATAATGTTTAATACAGCGTTTTCTCTACATGGAAGTTATATCTGAAGTATTTCCCAAGATTTTTAATAGCGGTTTGTCGTAGAGAGTTCATTCTTTTATGTTTAAAAGAGGAAAAGAAACTACATGGAGTGACAAGCGCCGATTTTTGAATTAGGTCCTAGTTTTTTGTCAAATAGAGAATTTTTAGAAAATCCGGAAGGCTTTTTCGGGTTTGGGAGGTTGTTGGTTACCTGGAAAACCAATAAAGGCTTAACTGAAAAATCAGCACCTGTCAGTCCATGTAATTAGGTGTCTAGTTTAAAATAAAACAAACTCGAACTTTCCAGCTTGAAGTATATTAAAAAACCTTGGGACACACTTCATGGTCCTTTTTGAACCTTGATCTCTGCAAAACTCCTGAACGGTAAGACTTGGAGACAAAAAAAGTTTTTCATTCCCGTAACTCATTGTGCCTAACATTTATGCAAAGTTTCGTCAAGATCGGATGTACGGTGTCGGAGGTAATTTCTGAGGATGGGGGACCCTTAAGACCTTAAGAGATGTAAGCTTGATTTATATCATGGTCAATTTGTCTTTACGCAGGCAAAAAAAGTATGAATCACTTTTTTTGAAATTACTTTCAGTTGCTAAGAAAATTCATTTTTCTATAGTCATTTATTTTCAAACATATATCTGTATCTATCAATAAGACACTCAGGTACATTTGGAATCCCTCTGCAATATGCATTTCAGACGTTTGATATGTAAGTATTTGTAATTCGTACAATGCAAACAGAGAGAGAAAAACATATTAAAGAGAATTTCTTTAATTCCTCTTCGTCCACGTTGTTGTTTTGTGCGTTATCTGTTGCACTTGAATTGTTTTGGTGGTATTCGATAAAATATAATAGAGAACTCTCTAATTTTTGCGCCAGAAATGGTTTCAAGTGAAGTTAACTATACTTCATTAAAAATAAGTATATAGTTCTTTTATTAATAGGTAAGTAGGTTTTGCAACTACTTTTCATCTTAGCAGTTGGTTTTATGTATTTCTATAGACCAGAAAAGCAACTGTTCGACATAATTGTTCAATTTCTTCACACACTTCTCTCAATATCCACATAATGCATCTGCATAGTTTAAAAACAATTCAATTCGGATTGGACTGGAAGAGAAAGTTTCCTATTTTTAATTTTTGGAGATCCTAAAGTTGGATGAATTTAAAAAACTTCGATTTTTTTCACAAGATTATTGGTCATATGTCCTGGCACGACCGGTAAAAATAAAGAGTTTTACTAATGTGTATTCGATAGAATAAACATAAAGAGTAAAATAGCAGCTAGTAAAGTTGAAAAAAACTGTAATAAGATTGTTATTTCAGTTATATTCCTGATACGCCTCAGAGATTATACAAGACATTTCGGTAATACAGAGGTACCTTATTAAACTTTAAATTATTTTGTGAAGTAATAAATAGTCAAAGAAAAAAAATCTAGTGCCAAAAAACATTTGCTGTATGGCCGAAAAAAGTCTAGTGCAGGCAAAGTTACACAGTAGGCATTCACGTGGACATTAGCAAAAAGTCAACTTTTGATTTTTCCAGCTTTTATTCTGGAACTATCAAGTTCGATATCCTAGCAGTCTATCTTCAGAATAACAATTTTTTAACTATAGAGGAGCAGCACGAAAATTCCGACGAAAAACTGGCCAAAACACCGATAACAAGAGGAAAAGTCTATATATCTTCATGCCAATTTCATGCATAAATCTACTGTGATGAGTGTTTTCTCAAGTTGAATTGAAAAAGTTTCGTTGTAGTACGAAAAGATAGAAAATTTTGTGTAGATTTTATTTTTGTATTCTTTTCGAGCTGAATATTTGCCCATTTTTTTGTAGCTTGTATAAAAGTGCTGAACGACGCAAAACGTTGAATTGGTCAAATACAAAGTCAGAAAATTTCCAAACTAGTTTTTTAACTGGTTAAGTTTAGTTCAGAAATTTGGTTCTGATGACTCAAAATACAAAATAGAAATTTTCTGGCAGTGTATTTGGTCTTACATATTTGATTGCGTCTGTTTGTAAAAGCTGAGATATATCAAAAGGGACAGTGTGGATCAATGTGATGACACTTCTATTAAAGCTCTTCTCAAATATATGACTTCAATATTATTTTTTATCAAAAAGACTCACAATATTAAACTCTACAAACGTTCATCTCTCTAGAGACTGAATCGTTTTAATAACAAGTATTGAAATTAGAATATTTGCATGGATGAAGCAAGGCAAAAATGGCTGGTAAAAGATCATTTAAAATGATTTTCATTATCACAACCCACCGTCTGAAAATTTTGTTTTGTGCTAGAAAAACTTAAGATTTTTAAATAAGTAATCTACTTTTTAGTATCGTCTTTGGATTGCACAACGAAATTTTTTAATAAGTTTAATTTGAGAAAAATCCATAGCAAAAGCCAACAATTTTCTCTGCCCCATCCATTATAAAAGAAATAAGAAAATATAATAACTTTTTTAATATGACCTTGCTTTGCCAATTCTAAACTGTGTGACACGAGAAAAGAAACTATTTCTGATCCCTTTTTTTAAGCATTCAGTTCTTTGTTAAGCGTTTAACTAGAAGTCAACCACAATCAGGACTAAGTTCAATTAATTTAATTACATTTCTAACATAATTAATTTTAATCGTGAATATAGGCGTGTTTGTATAGCGAGTTGATCATCATTAAATCGTGATTAAAAGTGTCGTGGTAATCATATTCAGCATATCGTTTCTCTGTTCCATTTATATATTTAAGAAGAGTGGAGAGATATTGCTCTACAAGATCATTGTGTCTTCCAACAAAAACTCTGTTTGATTCTGGAAAACTGGAAAAAAATTTAAAAACAAGGAATTTTAGTGGTTTTTAAAATTTTGTTCAAAAAAACTGGTAAAAATATTCGATATAACACCATTCTGAACGTGGACTCACAGATTTTTGAACAGATCTTGAGATTATCTTGAAATTTAATGTTACAGAATTAGTCTAAAAAACATTTGATCAAGATTTGTAACGGACTCTGAGAAATGAATTAATTAGCTGTTGATTAATTAGTCAGAAACTTGACAAATTTTTGATATTTGAGCTGTTCAATAAAACGTTATATTCATATAACGAATTTGAGAACTTTTCATTTATTTGCAGTGCAAATTGTCTTTGTTATATATGCATGGGCACTGCAAAACAAAAATGATGACAAAGAGAACAACAAATGTAATTATCTTCATTTATTTATTTAATGAATCAATAGAATTCATGGTTATATTTCTCTTATCTACCCTGTCTAGGACCTAATGGAACTATATATTCTAATTAGTAATTATTTTAATGAGCTCAGAAAAGTTTCTAAATCTTTCCAAGATTTTGATACAGAATTGTCAAAATACGTCATACTCAGAGAGGTAATAAATCCTGATTAAGATCTTGATCAAGATTTATTGATGTATCTGGCTTGATATTCTTTGAAAATTTTGTATTAAGATTTTGATCAAGAATTTCTTTAAAGGACTGAAGTTTTATGCTGAATTTTATTTGCACATATAACTACTTTGTTCATAGACGTGGATAATATTAGCTTAATTGACTTGTACGTCGCATAATTAGAACAAAGTTTTACGTGAAACACGTGTCAGGTGTCTCTGAGTTCAACGATCACA